ACGGCTGCCAGTTCCGTCGTTTTCTACTTCAGAAGTAATACGAAGAGAACGTTTTGAGAGATCGCGACCCTCATCATGACTGAATCTGGCCTGCAAGAACCCTACCATACAGACTGCAATTGCCGTTGAGCTTCTGACAGGTTGGACGTGCCGGGCGACACTCATGCAAAGAAATTCTGATTTTTTTCCTTTAAGTAAAAAAAAAAAAAAAAAAAAAAAAAAAACAAACAAACAAACAAACAAACAAACAAACATTCCAGGAAAAACGGCTGTCAGTTCCGTCGTTTTCTACTTCAGAAGTAAGAGAACGTTTTGAGAAATCGCGACCCTCATCATGACTGAATCTGGCCCGCAAGAACCCTACCATACAGACTGCAATAACCCTACCATACACACAGAGTGTTACCCGAACTACAGATTACTAAAAGCTTTCAGGCCAACGCGCGGCCTCCAAAAAAAATTTGGCTGCCCGTTTCTTATTTTACGTGAACAGGGGGCCGGGTCTACTACCGCCCCTCACAACTTCTTTTTTTTTTTTTTGACCCCCATTTTTGGAGGTGCGCCGCATGCAGTGCGCGCACATCGTGCGGGATGTGCGGTGCGGCACACGTGCGCAGTACAGCGCATCGCGATGCGCCGCATGTATGGTTTACATGGCCCTATACCCTCTCCTTTCTAGTTTCTGGTGTCTATGATTGCTTATAAAGCTTAACCTGTCTTATTTAAAATTTGTCTTTAACCAGTTCTAACAAGTGCTAAAACCCTAAACCCTATCAAGTTTAGCTAGTCTGTTAACTACGTGGTTAACCTCCCCTCTTGTGGATTGTGACCCTTATCCTGAATTTTCTCTTTTTACTAACTGGTACCGCCGTTTAGGGTGAAAGTAGTAATAGAATGCTGGGTTGGGTAGAGCTTGTGTCTGTAGGTTTAAGTTTGGGAGGTTGGGTGTCCATTGTGTTTAGGAGAGGGTTGTCATGTCTGGAGGGAGTGATTTGGGACCAGGGTGGTATATTGTGAGGTAATGGGCTAGAAGTGAAACAGATGTGAGGGGTTCGAGGGGATTGTGGTGGGGATGGCGTAGTGTGGTTACTTTTGCCAGAGACGATATCTGTGGAGGTTGGAAGTCTGTCATACCCGTCTGTTAGCAAGGTCCGTAATTAGCTGTTGTTCCTGTCTGTGTTGTTGGGGTAGTCACATTGGGGGGGTAACTACTTCGTTTGTGTGCCTTAGTTGTGGTTATCTGTGGTGGGTTAGAAGGAACTGATCTGGATGCTGATCGAGTCTCGTGTGCTAATCATTGATTCTGGATCTGCATTGTTGGTCTGGGCTTGGTCATTCCACATTTTAAAGATTCGGCTCTGTCCCTTGATGATTGCTATCTTGCCCTTGTCCAGAGAGTTCTCCTCAAATTTACTTTGAAATTCCTTGGCTTTGGGCTCGTTGGCTTTCATGTTTCTCTTGACTTTGCACCATAGTACCCAGTATTCCGTTACTACTTGCTGTTTGAGGACACCCCATGCTTCTTGCACATGCATTGGTTGTTTGTCTATCGTTTCTTGGCATTGTTTCCTCCAGATTGACCATATTGTTGCCTTGCGTAGGATTTGGAATAGGTTGTTTTGAAGGTCGGGGCAGTCCTCGGTGGTTGTGAATCGTAATAGAATAAGGGTAGGGTTTCTTGTGAATTTTGTGCCGGTTATTCAGGCCCAAATCTGTGTGATCCTGTTCCATATGGGTTGGATCTTGGGGCATAGCAGGAAGCAGTGAAACAAGTCTTCTATCTGTCCTTCTGTGCAGTTAGCACACAGTTCATTCCGTCTTCTAATGTTCAGGTCAAGTGGGATTGCTAAGTACAGTATTAGCCATGTGAAAACTTTTGAACTTCGGGGGGTGTAGAGTAGCTATTTGGTTCCAAGGTAATTCTCTTAAATTCTGAGCCTATCTCTAGGTGCCTATTCCAGTGGTCTGCTATGATTGTTTCTGAGGCTGTTGATCTATGTCTTAGTTTATCGGGTTAATTCTTCGGGCAATACTTGTGGTGTGGCCGTCAGAACCATTTTTTGCCCCGCTATACTTACCGTTGGATTTTTTTTCTTCTTCTTTTTTCTTCCACATGCTGGGAAACGGCCCCAGCGCCCCTCATATCAATAACCACGGCCCGCAGGGATGAACCAGGCTATCCGGCCTGGATTAACCCCACCGCGGCTGAGCACCCGTCAGCCTGCAACGTCACACCCTAATTAACTCTAATTAACATCACACTAATTAACATCGCCAACCCTGACACTAAAACACAAACCAACTCAAAACCATCAAAAGGAAAACGCAACCAGAAATCTACACCTCCAACCCTAAACACTGAAAAACACCAACAGAATTCCACCCAAAAAACACCTAAACAATCAACACGAACGAATGAACCCTAACTAGCTCACAGGCAAAGAAACAAAAACCAAATACCCACTACACACACCAACGTGAACTAATTAACCCTCATAATCTGTACAAGTGAAAAAAAACAAGGATGAAGAGTTCGCAAGCTACACCACACCCGAGGTAGGAGCATCAGCAATGCAAAGCGACGCCGAGCACAGCTTAAAGCCCGTTGTCAACGACGGTGGGCAATACCAGTCACAGCTAAGCTCTAGTGTCGCTCTCCCGGAAGCCGGCGCTCGTCGATGCACATGTGTCTCTCATCTCCCCGTGAATCTTCAGCTTCCGACTCCGTATCAAAGCCAGCGGACAAAGCCCCTGACAGGTTTCGCATACTGGTATGTGCGGCGCCCAAATCCTGCCCGTCGGACCACCACACATCTCCTCCTTCCTCCGATAGTCTCTCCAGGAATGCCAGCAAAGACCGACCCGGACCAGGATATGGCA